AGTGGGTCCAGGTGGCTGAGTATCAGAGTGTTCCATCTCATTTCCCTTTGGGGTTGCTGTAGGTGATCTGGAAGTCTGGTATTGAGACTTATTTAAGTGTCTTCTCATTTCGACGGGGGGGGGGTGCTGTTGGCGCCCGCGCAGCTCACTTCCTCTGAGCTGGGAGAGGTGGGAAAGGGGCCGAGAGTGGCGGGAGGGATGGTGGCCTGGAAGCCCCTTCCTCTGGGCTAGGAGGGGCGGGCTGGATGGCGGCCCAAATGCCCTTTCCTCTGGGCTGGCAAAGCCTGCCTAATTTTTAACAGACTGGGTTCTAGTCCTGGTTTACCAATATTCATGCGATATGGGAAGCAAGGGCAGTCTCAATCTCAGTTTCTTCCCTGTAAAATGAGAGCTTTGGATGAGCTGACCTTGAAAACTTCTTTCAGACATTCTAGCTCAAACATAATTTTTATTTTGGTTAGCTTTATATGAGCACTCACTTCTGTCTCTTATGTGGTGACCAGTCTCCCAAAACTGGGTGATGCTGAGTGCTAGTTATGTTTGTATCTTAGTAGAGGTGTGTACAGACTCTGTGAGAGGTTAAGATTCACAGGAACCAATAACCAGCACCACAAAAAAAGTGAAAAACAAAGAATCCCAGGAGCCATGTATATCTTCAAATGTGTTTTCTCAAGACAATTCTGTCAGGTAGAACTTCTTACCATTTCTATCTTAGAGCTGAAGGAAACTCAACCTGTATTAGTCAGCTTTCCCATGGCTGAGGCACAATATCTTACAACTACATCTTGAGGAGAAGTTCATTTGGCTCACAGTTTCAGAAAATTCTGTCCATAATTGGCTTGCTCCAAGGCAGAAATATCATGGCGGAAGGGCGTGCCAAAGGAAAGCTGCTCACCTCATGGCAAGTGAGAAGCAAATCAGGGAAACAGTGCAGGAGGGGAAAAGGAAAGGATCCAAATATAGTTACACTTCCATGATCCACTCAGAAGTGTGCAACACTTCCCTGGACAGCTCTAATGCCAATTAAGTTACACAATCAAATTTAATCATCACACAGAGTGTGACATCTCACAGAGACTACATGACCTGCTAAGTAAGCAGCAGAACCAGACCATGAACCCCAATCTTCTGAGTCAAAGTCCAGAGTGCTCTCTATTGAACACAGTTCAGCAGGCAATGTTTTCTGTTCACACTGTCTGAAATCATAGAGCTGTAATTTATAACCTAGTCAAGTGCTTTTGAAGAATTTTTTTAAATTCAAAAACCCATTACATATAAGACAAGGATAAAAAAGATATTAAATTATGTGTTTGCAATCCTCCAACTAACCCAGTCCCTACACTGACCTAATAAGAAAAAAATTATTGCTTTCCACTTCAGCCATAAGGACTTAGTTGTGCTACTGAGAAAGAAAAAGGGATTGGAAAATGGCAAGAGTATCAATTGTCCTATTTCAGAAATATGGTCAAAGGAAAAAGGCTTTGAGAGGTTATGGAATACAAAGGATTTAAAATCATGATGGGAGGGGGGTGAGAAGAGAACTGAGTTACGAAGGATTTAAGTAAATTTTTACCCAGATTGACCACAAAATTTTCCCCATTTTAAGTTTCTCATAAAACAAATACAAGTCAAGTTTCTCACCTCCAAGGCATCCAAAGGCCCCATCTGCCCAAATACACTAAAGAAACAAACAAACAAAAAGATGCTTCTGTGGAAAGCTATTTCCCTTGCATATTTGGAGATAGCTCAATCCTTTTAATATAGCAAAGCAAATAGAATAAGACATAGCTCTAAGCAGAGGCAGGTGCCTATTTGAGGTGACCCATAGCAGGTAAGAGGACTGCCTTCTCCCTGATACTTTCTCTGTCACTTTCCACTACCTAAGGCATTAACAAGGAATACAACCCTTCATATTACTATTAATGCAAAGATTAGTCTTTTTAGAAAGATTTGCCAACTCTGCCAGTGTGTGAATTTAATCTTATAATATTTAATTACATGTGTACAATGACAGTGTAGTGAAGAAAAGCCATCTCCTTACCACATTTAACTTAGCAAGGCTACAAATTCTGTGACAGGGTACTTAGGTCAACTTCACAAAAAATTACTATTAGGATAATAGTCTGTATAAGGAAAAGAAATGTTTCTATTAAGATGAGAAAAAATGGAATACAAAATATTAATCAAGTAACACAATTTTACAACTTGTATCCTAAAAGTCTGCAAATTTGTGTGTACATGTACATATATGCATGTACCTATGTATGTGTGTTGAATGTTCATATGGTATGTAGCAATGCACTAAATAGGAAAGAAATTAATAGGAAGAGAAAATACAATTATGACAATAAAATGGGTGAGTACTGTGGAGAAACCAGGTAAATATACTATGGTAAATTGTTACCAAGTGAGTTGAGGAAGTCAGTAATTTGATTAAATAGAAATTATACATAGAAAATAACTTCAAATTTGATGCTTTCAAAGGGCAGTAAAACCTGAAGACCCACAGCTTCCCAAAATGAGGAGGAAAAGAAGAAAAGCCTACAAAAAATGGAAAATCATGAATACTACAGTATGTAAGTCCAATTTAATACTTTGTAAAGTATGTATAAAATAAACTACCACCATGTCTACTTTATTCATCATAGGGATGGCTATAAAAGTAAGAAGATAAATCCACACAATGATTTTGAAGTTTGACTTATTATTATTGTGTGTATACTTCTGCATTAATTTTTAAAATATGTAGCATACATAGTGAAAATTTAAATAAAAACATTTACACAAACATATGCCATTAAGAACCCCATTCTCAAAATCTGCCATCAGTGCATTATAGTTCTATCTTCTCCCTCACAGACATTACACTGTAGTCAATTGAAAGGGACTATAAAATGTAAAATTATAAAATTGGAAGGGGCTATAGACTGAACTGTTCTTGGCAGGAAGGTGTTATTTTAAGAATAAATTGTAATCTGCTCCAGAAGACAGTCCATCAGTCTGTACACTGTTATCATGTGCACACACTATTATAAATGGGCTTTAGAGAGATATGCCTCCATATCTTTTCTCCCATGATTCCTACATTACAGCTCTCAGATTGCAACCAAGCCCACTGGAAATTATTTCAGTACCTGCCAAGAGAGAATCCCTTCCTCCGGACTAGAAAAGGGACAAATAGGAATGGTCAGATTCTTCATGTAACTTCAGTATGCTTGTTTTTCTTTTTTTTTTTTCTGTTAAATAAAATTTATTAATTTACTCTTTATATTTATTTATACAATTATAAATATTTATATAAAATAAATAAGTATATATAAAATCATGTTAAATTAGTAGCATATTTAAGAAGCACTATAAATAATAATTTCTAGGTTTTCATCATCTTACTAAAAATATTCTTTTGGACTTCTACTTCACCAATTTCTATGACATTATTAATTACTTGTTGCTCGTTCTTCCTTTTTCTTTTTTTTTTTTTGGTACCGGGGATCGAACTCGGGTCCTTGTTTCTTTGAGATGTAGTTTAAAATAGAATATGAGCTCTTTGTTTGTTTTCCACAAGATCTGATGCTTCATGCTTAGTCTCACAACTTTCTCATAGTAAAATATTTCAGCTATATAAAGCCAAGGAGCACAGGCCACAAAGCGATAGTCCTTGGGCCAAAACCTGCCCCTACGTACATTGCCCCTTCATCAAAACAGGGCTTTAGAAATTTGAGCTAATCCTTAGAAAGGAGCAGATTTCAGGCTCCAGCACCAGACTCTAGTTCTAGAGCCAGACCCTACCTCCATCTTGGAAAATGAAAGGATGTGGCAATACTAGGATCACTTCTTACACAACAGCTTGGTTGGAGCTGAATAATAGAGAATGTGTAAAGCAGCCTGCATTGCTTGCTGATAACACCTGCCTGTATGCCACAGCATTTATACTCATGAAGCTGTCCTGAAGAAGCCTGGGACAAAGTCCACTACCAGACCTGCTTGAAAGGCCGTTCAGAAGCTGTCTTAGTTCCCTTCCATCCTGTTTATTCTTTTTTGGTGCTACTATTTTAAATTATATGGGGTTCAACATAGCTTGTAGTATAACTCCATGTTCAAATACCTGATCAGCACAACTTGATCTTTATCATGAAGTTGCATTTAAAATTTACTTGTGTACACGTCTTTTGAAATTTTCATTTCACCTACTTTTGGAAGTTGTTCTTTTTAGTAAAGCTTAATTAAATCCTTATTCCCTAAAACTATATGTTAGTCTGCACTCTAAGAGAATCAATAATTTTAAATAAGATATTTATTATAAAGGAATTTTGGGGGAAAATACCTTAACAAACTAAAATGAATTAAAAATTATTACCTAAAATACAAAGAATATTACAAAAAAGATGAAATTACATTTCATCTTAGAATTTGGAACATCTGCTCTCTAAGAGACATAGAATTTTTTTTCTTCCTCTCTAGGTTCATCTCAGCCTTCTGGTCATGCATGCCAACAAAATAGAAAAGATGTTGAAAAGGAAGTCAAAGGAGACACCTCAAAGGCTGTGTTTCACCAGACTGGGGCATTAGGGAAATCTAAGGAAAATGGAGGTGAACAGATGTCCGCATTTGTGAATGGGAAGCAGAATTCCTCTTTTCTTCCAAAAGCTGAGAAACAGTTTCCATCTGACAGCAAAATACATAGGGGGAAAGAAAATAATGATCCTCCTTTGACTGTCTCTCATCAGCTAAATGAAATCTTACCAGCAGTCATATTTAATGACTGTGAAGAATTATCAGAAAAAATTACTCTACAGGATTTCCCAAGGACAGTAGAAGGCTTTAAACCAGAAAAAGGTAATTTTATTACAGAAGTGAAATGTGGGGCTTTCAATGTACAAGCAGAAATCAAGAAAAACATTTTCTGTAAAACAGGTACAAAATTCTCAACAAAAAGATGCCCAGCATGTTACCGGTTGTTTCCCACTTGGCACATTAGGAAATGCTGCACAACCAAAAGACACTTTCCTAAATGCGTTAATAAATTGGCAGAAGAATTAAAATCTGAGGTGCCATCTAAATACAAAGGAGAAGTTGCCAGAATAGAGAGCCCCTCACTGAAAGTAAACATTGTAGGAAAAGAAATTAAAGTTACATACATGAGTAAGAAACAGAATATATTAATTAACATAACTCATCCAAAAAGAAGGAGAAAAATAAACAAACAGAGAAACATTCCATCCAACTACACCACAGAAGAATCTTCCAGGCCTCCTTCACAGTCTGGTGCTAAGCACCCTGGAAAATGTACCCTTGAAAATAAGAATCAAATTGCAGATTGTATGCATGTCTCCTCTCCTAATGTTTTCACTCCCCAGATGGAGAACTCTGACATATCTGTGGCTTCTCTAACTTCACCTCTTAAGAGAGATAAAAATAAGCCCAACTCACTGTCATCAGGCTCAGATGGTTCTGAGGGAGAATCTGCCATCTCTCGGCAGAAGGTCTTTCAAATTAGTCAGTGTTCCCACCAAAAGTCGCATTTCCCTACAGCTGAAATTATTCCCATAAACATTTGTCCTACTTCATGTCATACCCTATAGACCACAAGTTTAAGTAATACAGATGTAAATAAAATGTCTTTTGAGGATCCTACGGAGGAGGATAGAGAGAGAAAAACCAAGTTTGATGTCTCAGGAAGTATCACAACAGACTCAAATATACAGCAGAGCACAGAAGGAAATCATTTGTTAAGTATCATTTCAGACATTGTTCACATTCAAGAAGGCTCAGAGTCTGACTTTTGCTCTTGGTCTTCTCTAAGCACACATCTCGAAGGAGAAAAGGCAGCCAATGCTGACTGCAAAGTCAGCAGAACTCCACCTGCAGAAGACTGTGAGAACTCAAATGTTTTATCTTTCCCTTCCAGTCAAAGTGCTTTGAAGCCTTCTACCTCATTTAGTCCATCTCACTGGGCCGCCAGACATTTAGAGACTAAAAAGACCCCCTTTTAACCACTGTGCTGAGTTTGTGATAGACCATGAGAAAGACCATGGTGATATAACTGACAGAGACATTAGCAAAGTCATTTTACCTGATGACTCTTATGAAGACACACAGCACTTAGTGGAAAGGAAGAGTGCCCAGAGTCCAGCACTCAGACCTGTACCTTGCAGCAGCCTAGATGCTGGGAGCCCACTCCATGGTATTAGCCATAAACCTCTAAAAATGTGCCAATCAGAGGCCCAGGCAAATCCCCCTGACATGGGAGCCCCCAGCCAAACAAAAGGGCCAGTTGTGACCTTCATATCAAATGAACTAGAGAGAAAACTAATTACTCAAAATGATAAAGACAGCACAGTTGATTCTAATTGTACCCTGGGAATGAGAAACCCTACAGAGTCACCTGGTTCTGTGGGAAATGATAAAAAAGCCAAATGTCAGGTATCAGTGGAAAAGAATGTATGTCACAGAGATTCTGAAGACCTGTCCAGTAAGATTTTCAATGAAGTCTGTTTTCAAATGGACTTTCCATTAAACACTGCTGAGTCCAACTCTGCAGTGCCTGCTACTGATGAGCTGTTTCTTATTGAGAAAATGCTACCCAGGGATGCAGACCAGTATGGTAACCAAGATGAAAAGACCCTTGGACCAACCAGTTCTCCACAGGAGCCAGCAGAATACCAACAGAGTGCACCATTAAGGCCAAATTCTGAAGGAGGTGAGAATAAATATGACTCAAAGGGTAATTGCTATCACCAAATAGACATTTTGCTGTCTCCTCAGAAGCTGAAGGCTTTCAAAGGTATGGTGGGCTATACAGATTATTTAACTGTCAATATTTTTATACGTTTGAACCTTAAAAAGTCTTAAAATAAGGATTTTTTTATTGCTTGGGATTTTTTTCTTTATTGCTGAAGATATATTGAGTATTTTAGAATTAGATGAATATGAGCAAGCATATATCAGCCTGCTTCTTTATGTTACCACCCACTCCACCCATAAATAGTGCATAGCAAAATCACCAAGGCTGCAGTTTAATATAAAGTAAAAAAATCAATTTCTCTTTAAAAGGTTGATGTATTGCCAAATCAATTTTGTAGGAAACGTTAGCCTTGTGCCACTCTTAAATAATCCACCATTTTTTTCCTTCTTGCAAGCTAAGCATGTTTCAAAGAATGGGAAGAATATGTTTGTAATCAAATGTGTTTTTGAACCTTGCTGTGGTGTTGCAGAAACATGGTTATGTGTGTCCCAGGGGGCTGTGTGGAATAGTAATTGAAGCAAAGGACAAAAAACAGAAACAACCATGGCTAATCCTGACTGAGGCATCTACAGGGCCTTTGGCCTGCAGCTGACCTCTGACCTTCCTTGCGGGTTGGTTGGCCCTGCTCAAACCATTGATAGAACCCAGAAGCTCTCCAGACTGAAGAACACTGAGGATGGAAACTCTTTTCTCAGTACAAATGTCTCTGTTTTCCAGCCTTGGATTAGTAAAGTATCATTTCGGTCAATTCATACAAGGCCTTTGTTTTTCTTAGTGAGTCCAAATTATTTTAGAATTAATGTTAGAACTATCTCATATTGTAAATTAAAATGCATCTTGAATGAGCAAAAATGCCTTCCCAAGTGCTAGTAACTTTCCCAACTTGCTCAGAAATGAAATTTGGAATGATGAAACTTAGCAGAGAAGCTACCTCTTCTTTGTTGTTTTAGTTCTAAATCTTTAATGAAAAAATTTATGAGTAAGAGCAAAGATTAATTGTTCAACATTTATTTAAAATTTAAAAGAAATAAAATACAACTTAATCTATTACATAAATATTGATACAAAATGTGAAATCTGCTTTATAAAAAGTAAATGCCCTAAAACAGTACAAAAACATATGAACATGTTCATATGAACATGCTAAAGCGAAGACCATTCATCAAAGTGACTGCTTCCTAATGCCTATATACCTTACATCAGTGACTTTAATTCCAATATCTGCTACAGTACACAGTTACTTAGAAATGCAAGGGAACTGATAACAAGAGTGCTCATGCCTTCTGGAGGAGATATATGCTTACCTGGATGAACATCTTCCTCAGGAGGGCTCTCTTAGCACAGAGGCATGCTCTTCTTTGTACTCCCTTTCCCAACAAGACACACTTCCTTATGATGATTGGTAATTCAAACCAGAATCCAGCCACAGCTGAGATTACATTTCAGTAAACTTTGAAATTGTCCTATTTGTTAAACAATTCCAGCCACTTATTCCCTGTGTTTCTCTGGTTCATCAAAAGGCTATTCCTAGAGCTGACCCCTTTAAACTTTTACTCCTCTTCAAGCCCTTGATCTGTATGTTTCAGCCACATTGACCAGGTTACAGCCTTTCAGCCAACATCCTGTCTCGGACCCCTTTCACAGGCTCCACTCTCTGTACCAGTCATTCCCTAAATGCCCACAGGTTCATGTCTTTTCAAAAATTTTGCTCATGTAGCACACTCGGTAGGACCTCCTTAAATTAAAAAAATTTCAATCTGAGCTGTCCTTGTGGCAACCAGATAAATCCTTTTCCATTTTTTCCTTTTATATGTGCTGTGATTCATTGTTTTTTTATGTTGTCTTCTCTCATTAGGATGTGGGCTTCATGAGGGTATGAATTTTTCCTTTTTTTATCATTATTACTACTGCAGCACCAGACAATCCTGTCCTGTACTCAGATGCTCAATGAATATTTGTTGAATAGAAGCAGGGAAGTCATATCAGTTTTGTGTTTTGCCCTGTTCACATACCAACGCACACAAAAATAAACACGAAAACAGAAGAGATCTAGAATAGCAAAAGCAATTCTAGGCAACAAAGACATGACATGGGGTATTACAATCCCCAACTTGAAACTATATATTATTGTCACTATAATATTAATATCTCATGTCAGGATGGTGCAAACTTTTAAGAGCATAGATTGCTTGGAAGAACTTGAATACCTTTGGACCTTTTGACTGGCAGTTATAAATTTGATATAGGCACAAACTTATACTTACCTTTTCCAAGAGTTCCACTAACTCTTAATAGTCTATCCAAGTACCTTAGGTTAAGATTCTCAGACAGGACTGCTGAATCTCATGATTATGTAGTGCCTTCCACCGTGTGTGTACATTTAGGATTTAACTGGATTAAAGGTCACAGTCTGGACTGTCTATAGGCATCAGATAAACAATGTCAATGAGTAAAGCAGGTTGCATGTGGGAACATGTGGAGTGCTGGTAAACTGGAGAGAGTATGTCCTGAAGGAATGAATAGTCAGTCCAGCTCAGCCAGGCCTTCTGACTTTTCAAGATAGCTGGATGCCTGAATTTTTAAAAATATAGGAATCTCCCGACTATAAAATTTGAAGGACACAATGCATACTAAACAATATGTGACCTCTAAACTAGATAACAAGGAGAGATGGTTGTGAGTGTGTGACAGGAGGTGACAGAGCCAGTGTGGTGTATTGGATGCCAGTCTGAACCTTGACGAACTCAGTGCTGAGTTCTTCCTCTCCAGAGAAAGCTGTGTGTTTTGGGAGAAAAAAGGTGTTTGCTCAGGGATTGAGTCCTTCAGCCGTGCATGGACTGAAATATATCTGTAAGATCTATGCCAAAGACCTAGGAATTCTATATCATAAAAAGTTTTTAATGAGGAAACCAAAACTAGGCCACCCAGAGAAAATGAAAGATAATGAGAAGGATTAGGTGATATTTTATATGGCACAGAATTACCTATAATAAACTAGCCTTTCATATGTAATATGACACAAAATTTCCATGAAATCCATAAGGTATTTTATTCCCCTAAACTTTAAAAAAAAAAAAAAGAGTGATTCCAAGAAACCATACCAAGGCAGAAAGGAATAGAAATATGAGGAAGTTTGAGATCCCAAGCTTTGCACTAAGCACTAGAAATAAAAAGATGAATAGAAAATTGTTCCTTTTCTTATAAGAGACTATGACTGTTGGAGATCATTTCCAACAAGCTGACATATGGTGAAACTGGGAGCTTCCTGTTCACGTGTATTTCTCGGTACAGGCACAAGATGAGGGTCCCAGGAGAGCAGTGAGTGTGCTTTCCTACAGCAAGATCCTTCCAGATCCACCTCTTCTCTGTCTTCCCCTTCCCTTCCTCTGCTTCCCCTGGCTTTGAATGTGGCAGCCTTCCACTCTTCCACTCACACTCGGTGTCTCAACCATTCATGGTGCTACATCACAAAATATCAATGACTGGGTAATTTTTTCAAGAGAACAAACTTGTTTCTTGTAGTTCTGGAGGCTGAGAAGTTCAAGATCAAGGTGCCTGGTGAGTCTCCTTGTTGCTACCAAGATGCAGTTTGTTGCTGTTATGTCCTCCCATGACAGAAGGCAGAGGAGCACAAGGAATTACCTGGTCCTCTCCAGCACGTCTAAAAGATGTTAGTCCCATTCATGAGGTCAAGGCCCTTGAGACTAACTCATTTCCTAAAAGCCCAACCTCTTAGTAGCATCACATTTCAATCTCAGGTTGCAACATAAGAATTTTGGAGGGACACCTATATTAAAAACAAAGCCCTTGGTTCTTTTTTTTTTCCCATACCCCTGCACTCCCAATGATGAATGTCATTATTATATACCTAAAATATATCAATAAACTTAATGAATAAAAAAAAGAAAAAGAAAGAAAGAAAAACCATCACAAAGTGAAAAAAAAGCCCTTGGTAAAATGTGTTTATTTATTTATTTATTTATATTTTAATGAATTAACAGGTTGTTTCAATAAAGTGACAGTGTTATTTTCCCAACCATTAACACACAGCCAATTTTCATCTGACACAGTTCCCCAGGCGCATAAGACTTCTTTGCTCCACTAGTTTCTAAAAAGAATTGTCATTTAATGCAAAATGTTTGACACTGGAAAATTCTTCCCTCTCATGAATGCCTTCATGGCCAACCTAGACTCTCAATGTCAACAAATGGGGAAAGCAGAACAGCTTTAGAAAAAATCGCCAGAGGTCAGTGCTATGGGATTTTTAAAAAGTTCCACTGCTCTGTAAAATCTCATAAAACAAAAGTTATCTTGTTCATCATCATGGCCCTGATTACCAGCACGGTGGAAATTAGAATGAAGAAAGTGAGCACTAAATATGATAGGATGGATGTTGTTTTGCTGTTATCTTTTTGTTTCCCAAGAAATGGGTAAGAATCAAAAATAGAGTCATAGAAAATTAGAGAAACTGGGTAACACTTCTTCCCCCTCACCACTCATTTAGCCCTGACAAGTGAATTTAAATTGTTATACAAATTTTTATTAATAATTACATATAAAATGAAGCATATAGTTTATCAAAGATGTACCCACTTATTTAAATAGTTTTCAGAATAAATTTTGATATAAATGAATTAGATTTTTCAAAAAATCAAATTGTAAAAGCTCATTTGATGCTAGGAGTAGAATAAAAATAAAAGATAAGGGTTGACCTCTTTTTAAACCTGTTACTTATAACATCAAGTAAAATCTTAACCAATATTTGTCTACCAAATTACATGTTAAGTATTATTTGTTGTCCTATTGGAGTTTTCTTTTTCTTTTACTTCTTTCAGTCATTTTTTAAGGTTTGATTGCATTGCAGTTATTTATTTGTAATTTTCTTTCTTGTAACAATACACTACAGTAACCCCTGTGATGACAGAGGAAACGGTTCAAAACTATATAAAGTTTTTCAAGTCATTATTAATTCAAATATCAAATGAGCAAAACCTTCACATATTTTTGCATTTTTTTCTTTTCATCATTTTGAATCAAGACATGCAACAGAAAAAGTCTCATAAAATTTGTGTACTTGTGATCATTAGAATTCAAACCGTAAGTACTAGAGTTCAACAGAAAACTCATTATCGTGGATAGTAATTGGATTCATTTAAGTAATAATATCATCTTATTTAAAATTTAGCATATATATTTAGCAATTTACTGGTATTGTTTCCCTTTCCAGTAACTGACATAGCAAAAAACCTACTGCTAGTACCCAAGGAATACTGTTGAATGGAACCCACCTGAGGCAATGCTTGGTGATCCCTCCTTTTCCTATATACATTTATTTTAGGGAACCTCCTCTATTTTCTCTCACTCCCTCTCAATAATGCAAGTTTACTGTCTCTTTTTCTAAATAAATGCAAGTTCAGCAAGTAAATCACGAATAAATCAAATATAATTATTTTCTGATCTGTGATTTCTGTTTCGAGTGAACGTTTCATTCTCTATCTTCATGTATTTAATGTCATTTTATCTAGATCAGAATTTGGAAATCAATAGCCTCCGAAAGTTGTCTCAGGAATTGGCTGTAAGAGATGAAAGAGTCAGTGATGGTTCCCAGGAAGATGCAATAGACCAGTGGGCCAGGAGGAGGCAGCAACTCAAGGACGGGAAAAGATGCAGCTCAGCAGGAGGGAGCTCATTCACCAGCACTATCTCTGAAGGATCCAGTGAGTAGACAATCAGCTTCTTTCCCTAAACCACAACAAAGGCAGCAGTTTATCAATCCTAACCACATCCCTCCCTTATATCTCCAGAACACAGACTCTGTTGACTGAAAGTGGCAATGTAGAAACAGAAGCTTTTATGTGAAAGATATTTTTGGAATAATCAACTCTTTTTACCATTAAACAACTGATACTTGGTAAATTACCTTCAAGAAAACTCAACTGCCTGCAAAGGTTCTTTCTTTTCAGGTCATAGCTAACTGTATTTAACTATAGGGTTTTTTAATTGGGTTAAATTTGTGTTCTACTTCAATTTGTGTTGGTTTGCCAAAGTATGTATAATCTAAAACAATAAGATAAACATGTTTCTCTCATTTTAACATTTTTGAAATAAGGAAGTATCTCTAAATAGGTGTGTATTTTAGTGAAATAGTATTTCTCTTGTTATTGAATTTTTGTTATTAAACCAGCATTATACCTGGTCAGTGGCAACTGGCAATGAAAGATAGGTTATCACTGAAGAAATCTAATGAAAATATAAATTAAGAATAATACTTTTAAAAAACAGAGGGCATTCATACATTTAATACACATCACCATTCATCTGGATCTAAGATTCTAATAGCTAAAGTTGTTAAAAGATACTTAGCAGCTAATAGACATTTGCAGTTTGCATATTATTTATAAAACAAATGAGTTTAGAAAAAAACACTCACACCAAAATCTGAGTGTGCTTCACTTTAAAAAAGGAAAGGGAAAGACAGATTGCGATGCAAAGAAAGTCTTTATAAAAAGACAATCGTGAGTTTCCTAGGTTGAATCCTACAGACAAGTTGATGGCATGATACAGGAACAATTTATGAAGGTAGTAGTGTAACATAGGTGAGGGGTTGAAAGGGGTTGTAAATATGTGGGCAAAGATTATAAGTAAATTAAATAATTTATCGTATTGTCACCAACATGTCATACTTATATCATGTGAACAATGAAGAATGCCATTTAAATGCTCTGTTTTGTCCCGATAATTTTCATTCTTGCCCCGTGGTTAATGTCTAATTCTTCCAGTTCTTCCTATTGGCAGCAAGGACCCTGCATCTGAAATTTTAAATGTTCATGTTCACATATACTACCATATAGGGTTGATTCATTATCCTCTTATTGTTCATATACTCTTGAAATACCTCCTTGGAAAATATATACTCTTCTTAGGTTAGACTCCAAATAGAATAATCCCACTACTTCACATTTTGTTCTAATGTTCATTTCTTTCCATTCCTATTCCACTGTCCCTTAATCAGGTGTGGAGTTTATATATTTTAGAATTTAGTATATATATATTTTAAAATATCTTAATAGTATATATTTCATTAATTTTTCCTCATCATTGTTTTTGTACTAATTACTTCTAATATTTATTTTTCTACTTGCTATACTAATCTTTTGATGACTTTTTTCAGGGAAATTCTGTGGGAAGTAAATTCTAGTTTTAATTTATGGAGAAAACCGGTTCTTTTTGTTCAGTAACCAGTGGTGGGATGGGAGTTTAAATTCAATATGTCCCTCACAATTTGTGTCATTAATCCAATGTTATTTCTGGTTGCGTTTACAGTTTTTTATGATTGTTTTTCCAAAATTGTTTCTATGTACTTCAGTGTGTGTATTTTACATATTGCTCCTTGTTTGACAACTATATATGTTTGAATTATATCTTTCTTCAACTCTCATAAATTTTCAGATACTCTGTTTTCAAATATTTTATTTCCTTTCTCCTCTTTTCTATATCCTGTTGCCATTCCTTTTAGATAAACATTTAAACTTTTGGATCTTTGCCCGCTATGCCTCAACTTTTCCTTTGTGCTTTCCATCTTTTCATCTCTTTCTGCTATATCCTGAGAGAATTCCTCAGTATAATCATTCAGCTCAACAGTCCATTCACCTCTCATCTAAGTCCTTCTTGTTCTGTAGCTTGTTTTCAGCCTTTTCGTTAATTTCAACAGCTTCATTTTTAAATTTAAAAAAATCTAACGGTTCTTTTTTTAAAAATTGTTGTCAATTTTATTTCTTCTGGAATGCTATTTTATATAAAGCTTTACTTAATTTCTCTATCAAATATTTTCTCTAATATAATATTTCATATTTTATGAGTTAGTTTTCTTTCTTTTATGATGTAGATTTTCCCAAATAGTTTATGAATGTTTGATGGGGTACTGTGTTAGTGAGCTTTCTACCTCTGTGACAAAATATCTAAGAAAAATCAACTTGAGAGGAGAAAAGATCAATTTTGAGTCATGGTTCCAGGGTTCTCACTCCCATCACTTCGGACTTACAGCAAGGCAAAAAAATCAGGGTGAAGAACGTGTGGTAAAACAAAGCTGCTCATCTCATGGGAGAAGGCAAGCAAATATAGAGAGGAAAGGGCCCGAATCCCAATAGATATTTCAATGGCTTGTCCCCAGTGACCCAACTTCCTCCAACTAGTCCCCTCCTTCTTAAAGCTCTATTGTCTCCAGCAGTGCCATCAGCTGGGAACCAAGCATTCCACATTGGCCTCTGGGGGACGTGTAAGCTCCACACCATAGCAGGTACTCACTCTGACTCATTCTCTAGTCTCCTAATGGCTGCCTCCTATTGAACAATCTACATGGTCAGCTGGGAAGCATTCTGTATAATTTTGCTTTATGTAATGTAAGAATTCTTTGAGTTGCAATAAGCAACTTAGTTCTGGCAAAGAATATTCCATATCCCATCTGGCTGACTTCTATTCTAAATCTAACATTTTCACATACACATTTTTTTCTGGGCTGAAGGTAGGTGCAATCATTACTGCTACTTGACTTATGCTGGAACTCAAAGTGGGGAATTACCTTGCTATTTCTGCTATGATACCCCAATTTATCACTCTCTTATTTGCACCTAGAGCCTTTCTAGCCCCATATTCTCATTGTTTGGGTGTGTGGCATTCTTGCTGATGTTCACACACAATTCTGCATCAAAACATTCACAAATATACTCTCTGTTGTGGTTTTACCTCATGATTTAAAGGGTGATTCTCAATTTCAGGAATTATCCAAGAATTCCCTTCTTGTTTCTAAACTCATTCATAGATCTTACAGCAAATACTTTCCTACATAATACATGTGCTCCCACACACTCTATATCTCCTCTCTGGTATTTATTGCTTTGTACTTTGAAATTCCTCTTCATTATACATAAAATTTCAGCTGCAGCTCCCACTTCTAAATATGTGTAATTGAACTTATCACAGTGCTCATAAAATAAAAGACCCTGCAAGAATTAGGACATATTCACAAAGAAATTTTCTAGCATTTCTATCACAATAAGAGACTATAGTCTGCACTTTCTCTGAGGCTTTAACACTGTCACTAAAAATAACTTCAATTACTCTATCCACATTTTATAAATACTGTTTTCATTAAATTCTCCTCAAATTACTCATTTGGGGCTGCTATCCTTTCCATGCTATAACCTCATGATGCACTTGTTCTCTACTTTCTGATACTGTTGAATGCCACTTCATCAAATATCATCAGCACAACCTATTGTTAATATCAAGTGTTTATTGCCTGCAGAAATAAGGGAGGACATTCCCTAAACAGTGTTTTGGTAGTGTCTCCCTTCCTGAGGGAAAAGGCAAAATCAGATTTTATTAAGAATTAGAAATTTGATAAAAGGCAGGTCTTTCAATATGAGAATTTGTTTAGAATTTGGTAAGGGCCATGATCTAATAGTTTAGAAATGAGAAAAATTGCAAAGTAAGAATTTTGATTGTTTCAAAAATCAAAAGAAATAAACTATTGGTTGTTTCTCTTGAAAATCCTATGGATTTTTGGAAATTTCTATAATTAATGATAAGTTATTTGCTAGGTCAATTTTCTGGAAGAGTAAAATTGTGCTAAGACTGTAGGACAAGGTCATATTAATTAAGAAAGGAAGCCTTATGGTAGTAGATAGTTTTGGTCCTTAGTGTCCACATTGTAAAAAAAAAAAAGCAGAAGCTGTGTTTTCAATGTACTGTACTCTAATCGTCCCTACACAAATATTTGAAATTTCTTTAAGTTAGATGGCTCCAAACTGGATTTGATCTTGACAGCTATTAATACTTTTCTTGGCTTTTCAAGATGGCAATCTTTGAATATTTAGTTTCTTTTCTGTAAGAATACAAATCTTGTATTATACATGTAAATTATACATCAATTGTCACTGATCCTGTACTTCTAGGTCCCTTAAAGAATATACTCATACAAAAGCAAAAGTGAGAAATATAAGATTTCCTGAACACATCAAAGGAGAAGGTTTATACCCCATGGCAAACAACCTGAAATTTCCTTTAGATATCACTCTGCTTCAAAGGTGTATGTGTGGCCTTGTAGCCATACGAGGGGTCTCTTATATAATATCACTTTCTCATAACACCCATATTCATTGGCTTCTATACTGAATTTTTTCTTGGACTTCAAAATTGTTCCCTTTCAAAGTACAGAGAAATTCAACTGCAGTTCATACCACTAAATCTGTGTAATCAAAATTATCAAAGTGCTCATCAATCAATCAACATCACAGTAATCAGCATCTACCCATCTCAAAAAGAGAGTAACACAAAAATTGTGCATGTTTATGGAATACTATGTGATGTTTTGAAATATGTATATACTATGTAATGCTTAAGTTGGCTTAAACAAATCTATATCCACAAACATCTATCATTTCTTTTGGAGAAAACATTCAAAATCTTTTCTTCTGGCTTTTAAAAACATACAATTCTTAGGGTTAATCTTAGCCACCCATTCAATACCACACCAAAATTCTTTTCTTCTCACAAAACTAAGAAATTAGACTAAATGGAAATTGTTTAGTTTGATTAACTATAGATGATCTTCCTGCATCATAGTGAATGGGGCCAAATCTTTCTAGTTCACAGCATCCATCAGCAATCTGGATTCTCAGTACAAGTCTATGTCAGTACAAATCATCCCTTATTTTATGGACAAATCCTTCACTAGTAGTGCTCTTAAGAATTCATGCCTTCTCTGCATTTCTCAGAAAAAGAAACAATCACAGGTGAGCTGGGTTCAGCTCACACTGGCTCACGAAAGCTAACTGTGCACATTTTTCTAACACTGCAGTTCAACAGCAGTGGGTTGGTGGCTTGAAATTCACCCTGGTGGGAGTATTTATACAATGGAAACTGGCAAATACTGCAAATAAGGTTGCTTTTTTTTTTCCTTATGGAGAGTTAGTTAAAACACTGAGCAGTAGCATTCACTTGAAATAATACAGGAATCAGCTGTGTAACTTGTACAAATTCAAATTTTATGCCAAAATAGCACAATTATTAAAAAAACCACAATTATTTTCATTAAAACGATTGTGTTTTCTTCTGGGTGAATTTTGTTTTGAAAGAAAACTTACTCTAGTATTTGTTTCACATTAGACACAAGAGAATTGAACTTCCTGCCATTTCTATTTTTTAGTTTATCCAAGCTACTTGCACACTGGAGATATGTTGTATTTCTTCGGAAACTTTTCAGTAGAGACTGCAGTTCACTAAGAGCTTCTAGGACTAGCATTGTTTAATGTTTGGTTTAAATTTTATCTCACTTATAGAGTCAGAATATGCTACTAATCCATGACTTAAAACCTGACAGCTTTATTGAGCATCATTACAGCTGGCGTTTTTCACTCTGTTAATCTCACTCATCTCTGACTTCCTACATAATAACTGGAAAAGACATTAGGAGAGACATATTTATGTGTGTGGACACAGTTGATCAATCCATCTAGGCTGTGAGGAATGCTGACTAAGGCACACTAGGTAAATAACTTGAAGGCTGTAAATAGAATTGGGAAGGGCCTGCAAAATAGAGCTCTGATTTTTATAATCTAGAATGGCTCCTGTATCACAAACAGATGTGGAAGAATTTGGATAATCATATGAGGATAATTGGTAGCAATTCCCTGATTTCATTCACCTGTTAAAATTGTATTGAAAAAGTCTTTTCCAAATATTAGTTGGTACTGAGAAAGGGGTGGGGGAGGGAAGGAAGGAAGGAAGGAAGGAAGGAAGAGAGGGAGGGAGGGAGGGAGGGAGGGAGGGAGGGAGGTAAGGCAGCCAGGAGGGGGGCGGGGGGAGAAAAGGAAAGAAAGAAAAGCGAAAGAACTCCAATTTCTAATACTAAGAACAATTATGATGTGCTTACTTTGTGCCAGGCATTATTCTAAACTAGTTATGATTTATTAGCTTGTTAATTCTCTTAGTAACATTATGAGTTAAGTACTACATTTTTTTCATTTTAGTTAGTGAGCTTTCTGAGGTATAGAAGGGGTGAGTGACTTGTGCAGCATCACTTAGCAGTAATTAGTGGTCGAGGTGGGTTTCAAACTAGGACACCTGCTCGGAGTCCATAGTCTTAAGGATGACACATCACTGCAGCGGGTTGGTCCATACAGTTATAACCCTGGAAAATTCTAAACAGGGTCTCACTTCTTTATACCACCTATTAATTATCTTCTAATAATACAGTAGAATTAAAAGAGGTATAAAAATACCTAAAGAGAAGGGAGGAAGGAGATGAAAAAATGACTGAGATAGGTTATGTACATGTACCAACTACCCACAAAAATGTTATCATTATGTACTGCAAACATGTACTGACAAAAAAATAAAAACTGAAAAAAAAGAATGCCTAAACACCAGGAACTGGGCTGTTCGTTTTGTCTTTTTTAACCTAATGTAAAAAACTAAGAATCAAAAGGAAATATTTTAATTCTTCCTGAACAAAAGATTTCAAATTCAATTCAATAAAATCCAGCATATTTAAGATGCATTGTGTTTTAAAGTTCATTTATTAAAAGACTGATCTAGTAAAACTAATTTTGGTGGCAAAATTTTTGTGACAAAGACATATTTGGGGTTGTGGTCTGTTTGGCTCAAGGTTTCACAGGGACAGATGTTGAGAAATCGAGCAGCTAAGTTTGCTGCAGGTGTGTGACTGGCTGCTTCATTGGATTTAGCGCAAGTTTTATATCTCAGTTTATGTAAGAGTGTGTTGATTAGCTCTGTCTTGGTAAATGAATGAATAGAGAACTGCTCATCCACATAATCAAATCTGGTTGTAAATAAATAAGTGAGCTATTTTAACAGTCTCATGCACACTGATAAAAACAAATATCACTATAATTTAATGTCCCACCCTCAGACCTTTACATGATAGGGAGATGATTGCATATCCAACATGTGCAGCTATTGCTGAGGAAAAACAGAATAGTGATAAATCAGTGGACCTAGAAATCTGTGTAAGTTACAGTCATAAATATTAAAATGTTGCTGAATTTGTAAGGCCAAGCACATAGGAAATAAATCAAAGAGAGAGATGCTTTAGTACTATAAAATTCTTCACAGTTTCTGTAACTTTAGCAAGTACTAAAGTTATACAAAAAAGCTTTGATTCAGCCTTAGAGCTTAGGTCAATAAATTATCATAATTTTTAGTTTCTTTTTCCTATCTTTTCAAATTAAGTGGTCATTCTCAAATTTATGCAATAAATGAAAGCAAAAAGTTCTTAAAGGATTTTAAAATGTGGTATATAGGACAAAGTATCCTAAAGCATGATTTCTATTAGTATATTCTAAAGTTTTCATAAATTTTATTCCAATAAAAATGTATCCCGTAAAATTTTCAAATCATTTACACTCTAACTTTATCATTATATAATATTCCAATGTGTCATCCCCCTTTATTTTGTACACAAAATAATTTATTTACTCAATCAATATGACCTATCTTTCAAGTAAAGGCTTAATATTCCTTAACTAAAATGTGTGGGACTTGAAATATTTTCAATTTTGGATGTTTTTGGATTTGGAAATATTTACATATATATCATGTGATATCTTGGAAGTGTGATTCAAGTCCAAACACAAAATTTATTTATGTTTCACATACATATAGCCTGAAGGTAATTTTATAGAATATTTTTATTGTACCGATGTCTTGACTGTGTCATCTCTCATGATCTGAGGTGTGGAAACTTCCATTTGTAGTGTCATGTTCATACTCAAAAAGCTTCATATCATACATTTCAGTTTTCATATCTTCAGAATAAGGATACTTAACCTACACCTACTTCCCCATTCGACGCCATCTGTCCATCTCGTGTTAGTCTGTCTTTTTCCCACCTCAACCTCCCATAGAAAGCTTACCCACTCAACAAGGCTGAATCTAATATATTCTCCCTTAACCTACACTCCCTACAGCCAGAGTCATTCTCTTCCTCCTCTAAATTCTCTTAGTTTCTCATGAGTTCCTGTCTCACTCATCTTTCTACCCCCATTGTACACAAATTTATACCTTGTTCATGAGAAAACATTTATTTCAATTTAACTTAATGAATGAATGTACCTGAAACCACATAAACTGTCAATGACCAGTGCAATAGTATTCAGAGCACAAAATAATTATTTTTAAAAAACCGTGAGACCATCACTTAAGATATTTGAGTTTGAAAAAAAAGATATTTCAGGTTTGTTCTTGACTGTCTGCAAGAGTCTATGCTCTTGCAGATGTTGTCGGCATACCACCCAGGACATTTTCTACGCAAGTCACATAAATCTATGAGCTAGAAATCTCGTAAGTTTATCAATCAATAAATGGACAGGACAATATCTAATACTTAACCTTTTGAGGATGCTACTAAGAAAGCAAGATGAGGCAAGATGAGAATGATTAGAAATTATTTTCTAGAGAAAAATCAATGCAAACAGAAAACACATTCTTCCTGGGTCTTCCTGTTACTGACAGACTATAGCCCAAGTCTCCATGGGCACTGACAGATGGAAGGAAGGGTGGAAGGAGAGGATTTTACCTAGAATTTTTCAGAGAAAGGATCAGAGTAACTGCAGCATGTGAGAAAAAAGCTAAAAGAGAAAATAAAATGTTCTTTTTTTCCTTAAGAAATATTACTGGGTCTCCAAACCCTAATGTCTTTGTGGTATTTGAGAAACAAAAACAAATGAAATTATAATTTGCTATGAAAGGGTGCTTCTTGATTCTGCCCTTTTGAAAGACTGAAAGGTTTGGGGCATGACTTTATTCAATAAACTTCCTAAACAGGCCTCAAAGATACAAATGTAATCTTATTTCTTTTACTGGCACAGTCTTTCACACTACCCAAGACACTCTCACATGCACAAAAAATCCTTAATTGCTATGAAGGAACTGGCAGATAAAACTTTACATACTTCCTTGTATGCTTTTCTCTTTGCATAAGATCATAGTGAGTTTCCTGTATTTTTTTTTGCAGTGCCTTTTTCAAACAGGAAGATAGTAGTTTTTTGTTGTTGTTTTAAATTTGGTAATCCTTTTTCTTACTCGTGGTATTTTGAAAGGTACTCTAAAAGGTAGTTCCTAGTCTTGTATGCTTTCATCTTGACCCCTAAGCACTAACACATGGGTCTTAAAAACAAACATTTCTCCCCATACTTTTCTTTGACAAAAGGATTTATAGTGCCACTTCTAGTGCATAGTCACTCATGCCATAGGCTCTAAAATAGTACTTGTTTTGACTTACGATATTTTGGGACTGTGTAAGTTCTTCCCAAGAGAACTGTCCAGCATACTTGGCTACCTGTTTTCAAGGATAACACTCTTCATCAGTGTAGACTGTCTGCATTTCAGCTCTTTTCTCTCGTGGACACCAGTCACTCGGATCTTCTTTCTTGCCCGTGCATAATTTGTGTTATCATTTTTTGCTCCTCAGTCACCTCGGATGATGGACGTTCTGTAGATTTTGGCTTTCGAGTTGATATTGAAGAAAAAGGATTCTACACAGAGAACTTTCATTCAGCAGCATGGGTTTTCAGAGGAGACAATGGGAATCCTGAAGACAGTCCCCGATGTCTTAGTAAAAAACCACAACCAGTAGCTGGTAAGGACATTACAAATATAGTAAGACAGCTGTGTGTTAGAGATCCTGTAGCTAGACTCCAGGCAAGATTGTTTTTAAAAAATTAACTTTATTGGTACATTTTAGGTACACATTGTGATCACATTCATCATTGAGAATTTGTACCGGTACGTGATATATCTTAGTTTTTGTTTTTTTCCCATTCCGCTTCCCTCTCTTCCACCCCTCCACCCCTCCATATTTACCAAGTCAGATTCATCCCATTCTCTTAGTCTCCATTACATTGATTTCTGTTCTGATCTTTATAATTTCCTTCTTGTATGAGCTTTGGGTTTTTCTTGCTCTTCTTTTTCTAACAGTTTGAGGTTTAGCATTAGGTTGTTTTTTCAATATGGCTATTCACTGCTATGAATTTCCCTCATAGGACTGCTTCCATTGTGTCTCATGAATTCTGGTATATTGTATTGGCACTGTCATTTAATTGCAGAAACTAATTTCTTCTTTAATTTCCTCTGTGACCCATTGGTTGTTCAGGTGGGTGTTATTCAATTTCCATTTGTTTATGCAGTTCTTATGGTTTCTTTTGCTATTTGTCTCCAATTTTGTCACACTATGATCTGCTAGTATACAGGGGCTAACTTCAGTTTCTTTGCATTTACTTAGGCATGTTCTATTAGCTAGCATGTGGTCTATTTTGGAGAATGACCCACGTGCAGCTGAGAAGAATGTATGTTCTGATTTTGTGGGGCAGAACACTCTGTAGACAACTGTTAAGTCCATTGGTTCAAGAGTTTGGTTCAGTCCTAGTGTTTCATTATTGACTTTTTGTCTAGTTGATCTATTTGTGACAGTGGGATATTGAGGTCTTCCACTACTATTGTATTAGGGTTTATTTGATTTTTCATGTCCATTAATATTTGTTTTATATAGTTGGGTGCATTAGTATTTAGTGTATATATTTATGATTGTCATCTCTTCCTCTTGGATTTCTCCCTTTACAAGAATGTAGTGTCCTTCTTCATCTCTTAATCAGTGTTGGTTTGAGATCTACTTGATCTGCAAAGAGGATAGCTACTCCTGCTTTTTTTCAGGTTCTCGTCACATGGAGTATTCCCTTTGGATTACTCCCTTTACAAGGATGTAGTGACCTTCATTGTCTCTCTTAACTAGTCTTGGTTTGAAATCCACTTTGTCTCCATATAGGATAGCTACCCCTGCTTTCTTTTGGGTTCCTGTCACATGGAGTATTGTTTTTCATCCTTTCACTTTCAATCTATAAATTTTTTTGAATTAAGTGTATTTCTTGTGTGCATCATATTTCTGGATCTTGCTTCTTGATCCATTCTGCCAGTCTGTTTCTTTTGATTGGTGAATTGAGACCATTAACATTGATGGTTATAACTGATATATATTGACTTATCCTTGTCATGATCTTTTCCTGTTGTTGGATTTTTTTTTCCCTCCCTTTGCATTTAGTTTTTTAAAATTTTCCTGATGGATTCATTCTGCTGGGCTGCATGGAGTTGTGGCCCTCATTGTCATTTCCTAGGATATTGTTTAAAAATTTTTGGAGTGCTGGTTTGGTACTCATGAATTCCTAAGTTGTTCTTGGCCGTGAAAGTATCTAATTTCCCCATTGATTTTGAAAGATAATTTTGCAGGATACAACAGTATGGATTGGAAGTTATTTTCTTTTAGAGTTTGAAATACTTCACTCCAGGCTCTCCTTGACTTGTGGATTTGTGCTGAGAAGTCTGCTGTGATTCTGATGGGCTTCCCTTTGTATGTGATTTTTTTCTTTTCTCTAACTGCTTTTAATATTTTGTTCTTGTGTTGGATTTCTGGAATCTTGATTATTATTCCAGGCAAGATCCTGAAGTTGCCAAACTTGAATCCTGGGTGGAGAGTTTGGGGAAATATATATATTTCTTGATATTTTGAGAGAATATGAAACAATTAAAATCAAACTTATCTTAAGAGCTTATTCAAACAGAATAATTATTCCAAAGTTGGAAAAAATCTTGAAATAGGCAGAGAATAGTTCATTTTCATCCTCTGGTAAAAAATAACCATCAATTTAAAAAATATATCAAAGAATATAAAGAAGTAACAAATTACACTTTATTATCCCAACTACTATAGATACTAGTTTTTGTTTTTGCATTCTTTTTATTACATGTGCTTCTACTTCTGTTTTTAAAATAGATATGAAATATGAGCTAGGCAGGGTGGTGCATGCCTGTAACCCCAGCACTCTGGGAAGCTGAGGCAGGAATATTGCAAGTTCCAGTCCAGCCTGGGTAACATAGTGACTGAAGGAAACTCTATCTCAAAATGAAGAAAATGTTTTAGGGAAGTAGCTCAGTGAGAAAGCCCTTATGCTCTCTCTTATCATTAAGATCATAGTGAGTTTTCTGTTTTTTGCATTGCCTTCTTCAAACACAAAGATAGTAGTTTTTTTTGGTTTTTTTGGTTGTTTAATTTGGTAATTCTTTTACTTACCTGTGGTATTATGTAAGGGACTCTAAAAGGTAATTCCAGTACCACATACTTAAAAAAAGACAAACATATATCTCATGGTATCATGTATTTATTTTGATATATATGATCTTACAGCCTCCTCTTCACATTTAATAATTATGCTTTCATTTAATAAGTATGATGCTTTATGCAGATCTAACATTCTAATATTAATGCTCCATGACATTTTATGAAATGAATTTTTATGAATTGAAATGAATCAGTCATCACATACTTGCTTACTACAATAATAGCTTATGATTTTTAAAAAGTTTACATGTGAATTACAAGCTTCAGCATGTAAAATAAATATTATTTCACTCCAAACTTTGCTGAAAAAATTTAAAATGTAGAGCCTTTGTGAGTTTTTGCTTTATTGGTATAAATAACTTTGATAAATAAATAATTTAATTCAAAAAGCAAAGATTCAGGTTGAAAATCATATCTTAAAGTAATTATACAATCATGCATTTAATAAGCATCATGCTTGCTATGGTGAAGCCACTAGGGGGAGTTGCTAAAGAGACACAGAGAGAAGAGAGTTTTAAAAGTATGTCAGGTTCTATAAAATGGAACACAATACTTTCAAAACAGGCATCAAAATGTGCTGCTTCATCTTACTGACACATAAATAAGATGTAATTATTATATATAATGTTATTTGTTTTATCTGTAGAGTAAAATTAAGACTTTCTGAATTTTTTCCTGATTGATTACAAAATCAAACAATGGAGTGCTATAATGAGCACTGTAATGCTATGATGAGCATATATTTATATGAATCTATATGAGTTCTTATGCACATGCATAAAAGAATATGAGGCTTTTATTTTCACACATTAAGAAATTTTGTATTAGTCAGCTTCCTTGTGGCTGAGACCCAGTACCAGGCATTCACAATTTAACGGAGGACAGGTTTAATTTGGCTCATGGTTTCAGGGGGTTTCACCCATGGTGGCTGGCTCCAAGAGAGGATATCATGACGTAAGAGCATGGTGGAGCAAAGCTGCTCAGTTCATGGTGGCCAGGAAGCAGAACAGGGGAACAGTACCAGAGAGGAAGTAGGGAAGGATCATATAGAGTACCAAGTCCACACCTCTGGAACCACACCCAGGAGTGTGTTTTACTTATCGTCTAGGCTTTTCTTAATTCAAGAAGACAACATACCAGAATTAATACAATACTTATTTACATAAATATCGTAAAATAAACAAGTTAAATAGCCCTTCATTGAAAAGTAAGCACGGGGGGCTCTGGATACAAAATTTAAAGTATTCAGATAGGAGTTTGTGAAAACTCAAGATAGGTGGTAAGGCATTAAGTTCAGCAAAATGAATAAGCAATACAGATTTGTAGTACGACATTATACCTATAATCAGCAATAATCTGTAATACACTTAAAAATATAAGAAAGGAGACCTCATGCTGTGTTCTAACCAAAATAAAATAAAATTTTAAAAATAAAACAAATCAGAACAGCAAAAGATAGATGGTGCTCTGTGAATAGCTGTAAAAACAACAAAAAATTCTATATTTAACTTTTACTTAAGTAATGGAGTAGAGCAGTTGCGGCAAACCTATGGCACACGTATTGTTTTTTGTTTGGTTTTGGTTTGGTTTTTTTTGTTTTGGTGCCGGGGATCGAACTCAGATCCTTCCACTTGCGCAGCAGGTGGCAAAACCACTGAGCCAAATCCCTGGCTGTTTTTCTTTTAAGACAAAAGATGTTAATTATGAGGTGGTTTTTGTAAATTAAAACCTCAGTAGTTTTAATTGCAGTGTTGACACTTTGTGACAAATAAGTGGATTTGGGGTTTCAGTTTTGTGTCCAAAATGTTTGCCATCACTGGTATAGGGAAAGAACATTAGGCTGAAAGTAAGATTCTTAGGGTCAGGATCTTAATACCTTAAAAGTTGGAGAAATAGGCAAACAAAATCTTGTATCACTCATATTCTGGAGCTACATGAAAATGTTAGGATATATTCAAATGTTGAGTTGAGTTGTGATATATTTATGGAAATATATGCCCTTCATTTGAATTTTTACATCCAACAACATGATTCTCAGGAAATGTTATCTAGGGGGATAAATTACTTGATGATGCATCCACATAGTCTCTGAAACAACAATGACATTCAATTGTGACTTTACAGCAGCTGTGTGGCACTTATAGATTATCCACTAGACAGTTGCAAGGGAACTAGGACTATAAATCTTAAAATATAAGAAAATTGTCTGCAGAATGGGAGGGGAAGCAGTTAGAAAACATTCTGATTGCCTCTTCTCCCACAGGAGAGCTCTGCAGTTGAGTTCACCATTTAAAGACTTTATTAAATTGTTCATTCTTTCATACACATTGTTGACAATCAATTTGCCTGATTGAAAAACCAAAAGCAAAGAAACACAACCTTGAAGGCAGTAGCCATCTTAACAGTCTTATGAAATATGATAACCAACAAACATAATTTGATTTGAATCAACACAGTAAAAATACTCCATT